ACCTCTGATTAGAGACCTTTGAGGGCATAATAAATGCTTGTATGCTTGTAACTGGCCCTTCCCAACTCAGAATGGGAATATCTCTGGGAACCAAAACTATGTAGGCACTTGCAGACTGGTCTCTTCTGAGAGTCACCAACTGACCTGTAGGCTTGGTTGTTCTGATGTCATAGCAGTGTAGGGTGGTAACGTTAGTCTATGACCAGATGTGGAATGCGAAAAGTATCTCTGCATCCCAGAAACCCATCTCTGAGGGAACCAGAGAAAGGAGAGCTGATGAGACATACAACTTTTGCAAATATCATGTAGTGTTGGGACATTGCTTCCCTCCTCAAAATGGGGAAAAATAATTATTGTTTTTCTCAGTGATTCATCTGCTTCGCCCTCCACTATGGATGGTAAAATCTCAGTCATCAGATCACACAAATGTGATTTCTTTTCCCTTTTCTCTGGGAATCATTAATTAAAACAGTTTTACTGTGCTTGTATTAACGAATCTCACTCATGTTGTTCAATGTATGTGACTGTGTTCAATTTTACCCACGCTCTCACAAACATAGTGGCCCCTCTATTCCCTCCCTTTCTCTTCTCCTCTCTTCCACCGTTGGTATCACTTATTTTTTCATTTTCATTTGGCATTTTGTAACCCTGTGTATTCATTAAAAACTTGCTAGCTTTAGTGGGTAATGCTAATTGAATAAAACATTTATGTATTGGAAGGAAAACAACAGAAATTTCTTTTAAGAGAATTGGAAGTAAATACAATAGCCTGTTCTCAAGATTTAGGTTCTTTCAAAAAGCAAGTAGCAAAGTAAGAAGGAAGTTGTAGGTAATGTTAAAGTACATCTTTTCCTGGAGGATTTTTTTGTTGCTAAACATGCCTATTACAGGGCATATGATAATACTAAGATGAATTTTCCTTACTGTTGCCAAAAAGACCTCTGCGTTCTTTCTCTGAAACCATAAGACAAATATACATTTATTCTGTATAGACTATGCAAACATTGCTAACAATGCGACACTATTAGCTGGAACTTAAGCAATAAACGTTTTTTTTCAGTTGCCCTGGTTTGGATTTCATGGACATAATTGTAAGGGGAGAAGCAAACTGTTTGACTCATGAGATAGCTCTGAATGACAACAAATCATTGAGGTGTGCAATCACTGAGATGTATAGAGGCAAATTCAATTCCTGCAAAAATTGTATCTCCCCTCATGACATATATTTAATATTACCATTCTTTCAAAATCAAAACTGAAGACACATCATCTGAAAAATCGAAGCATATCTATACTTGCATTGAAACATTTGGGGCTGTTATGATTAATTTCAGGCAATTTTTATACTACATAGGATGGTTTTACGTTCTTTCTACAAGTGTATAGAGGTTTTACTGAAACGCAAAGCTATAAAACTTGCTTGCATTCAAGTGTGGTTTCTGTAGGTCCTGTTTCTGGTCTAATATATTCTAAAGAACTGTTACAACTTTGAATAGTTCACTACCTGCTCTGCAAAATGCACACTTTTTAAAAACAATCTCTTTGTATAAAGAATAGTAATGCCAACCAGCTCCTCTGAGTAGTAGTGAAGTATGATACTAAATAATTCTGATGGTAGAATGATAAAAATGAGTAAACTCTCTTTTTCCTCCCTTACCCCTTATGGTTCCATTTGATTCTTAGTTCATTTTTTTCCCCCAAATAAATAGCAAAACGTTTGCACTATTTCAGACCTGGTAGTACAGTCTACGAATATCTTCATCTATTGTCATAGAGTTTTATTTTGTCTTCAGGCAGATGGGGCGCTCTTTTGGATGTGAATGGATCAGAGACTTAACTAAGTTTCTGGAGGTTGGGAGAGAAGGAAGGAGCTCACCCCTTGTACCACACGAAATCACAGGGCTATTTTTTCTAGGTGTGGGGTCAGGGGCATGGGGATGTTAGAGCTCTAAGCACTGGTTTCCAGGTGGGTTGGCTGTGAAATGCAAACCTAAACCCCTCTCAAAGAGCAGAGGAATCAGTAATTTCCTCTGTAACTTTGTAAAGTTTAGGTGCAATTTCAAGTGCAGATTTTAATGGAATTCTCACTTCACAGACAGTTATAGGAAGTGCAAAGTGAGTTGAAAAAGTATATTATTAAATTTGCATTAAGTATGTGATGGGAAGAACCTCAGAAAAATTGATCTCTTTCTGAATATGTGTCTAGGGTCTAGAATCATCTTTTCATATATTTGACTCAAGACATACTTTCAAAGATTGATATATTCAATTTTAATTTTTTTCTGAGCTTTTAAAAATTCCTTTAAAATGTATATGTAGCTATTCAATGTTATTTGAAAAGTACCTTGTTATAGGATACACTTTCAGTCCACCCTCAATCCAATGTTCATAATCCTAAAACCTCAGTGTTAATGGTCCTTATGTTTGTAACTCAAATGTCTAGGACACAATATTAGGTAAATTAAATTGAACTTGACCTACCTGCTGACTCCTTTAAAAAATGCCAAGGCATTACATGACAAGAGCTTAAATATTTGCCATGCACCATAGCACACTAAGCTTTTGCCGTTTGGTTTTGCTTACTTTTGAACAGCTAACAATGTACCTACCTCCTTGTGATTTTAGTTTGATCTCAGTGGTGAACAATGACTGGGTTGAAATTATTTCAAATTAAATTCAACTGCCTCCTGGTTGGATGTCACAAAGCTGGACTCTTTAATTGACTTGTCACTTTAGGCTCTAATGTCCTAATGGTAGTGGTCTTAAATATAATCTGGATGCTGTATTCTGTCATTATAATCCTGAAGCATCTCCTACCAGGGAAAATACAGTGGTTAGCCAAGGCACTGATGAAGGATTGTGTTTGTTCCCATCCTTTCCCCTCACCGAAGTAATACGGCTCATGAGAAAAGAATTATGTTAAAAATCTAGGCAAAAATCTTGGTGCTTTTACAATGGCAGTGAAGATTCCTGAAGACACCCATTTCCTATTTGTGGATATTTCTATGAAAAGGATAGTACTTGTGGCTGTAAATGCACAGTCCTAGCTGGGGCATGTGTGGCTAGTAGTGAAGCAGAGAAGCTAAGGCTAATACATCTTATCCTTAGTTTACATCTATAGTCTGCTTTGCTGGAATGCCAAACCAGAAGAAATCCTATCCGTAAGGACGGGAAGGTGAAATGAGAAGGAAGAACAAAGCAGAATGTTACATTTTCTTTATAGGCAGATTTCATAAGGAACTTTAGCTCATCTGACTGAGTCAGGGATGACATTCCCCATTTCCCATTGAATAGCAAGGCAGTTCTAGCAAATTTGTGACAAGGGTTTCGAATGAAAAATATTGAAAAGCATATTTATTATTTACTTTAGAATGTTTTAACTAAGAGCTGGTCATTAGGCAGAAATGATTGTTGAGAAACATCCTTATGAGCAGAAAGCAGTACTACGTCATCTCTTGAGAGAACTCATGTTATTACAACCCATTAAAGGCAAAAATTTTCCTCCCCAGTGACTTACATACAGATATTTCATTCTCCTTTATTGTATTTCATTTGAATTATCCTTTTACTTGTGGAAGCTCTAATAGTGTATATATGCATATATGTATTTATACATGAATGCATTTATTTAATATTCTAAAACTTTTTAAGGCTCTGGTTTAAATTACTTTGATCAGAAAAAAATTAAAAATAATGCATATCTATTCTGGGACATAATATTTGAGAAACAGATTATCAGAGGCAATGTAAGACTTTAATATTCAAGATTCAAGATAAAATATTATCTTGGCTTTTGTTTTCTTCTCATCCAATGGATACATGTGTTGGGCCCAATTAACTACAGCCAACTGGATCTGAGACAGTAAATATAGTTATTCTGATCCAAGACAGCTGTCTTCCTGAAACATTGCCTTTGGATGTCCGGTGCATGTTTGTGTTTTATTATATTGAGGAACGGATACAAATTTTAATATTGAGTCTATTGGCAGCTTTTAGACTTAGAAATACTTTTATAAGGGAAGTTGGCACCCTGTTGTCTACTATGTCTTCATAGATAACTACAATGTACATGACTCATTTAATCAAACCAGACAAAAGTTCAAAGTGGAGAGCTTTTTTTGCATGGGCCAACTGACTTGATTGTCTACATAGATCAAATAAAATGGGTGATTGCCAAAACTCTACTGTATTTTATACCAAGGAAAACCAGTCAAAGAGGAGGGTTGTCTTACAGAAATTGCTTAGAAGGCTGATATTTTACAAAGGAAATCTTGACATTTAGCAAAGATCAAAAAGACCAACATATTGGTAATGACATTATGTAAACGCAATCTTCAGGAAAATATTTTTGGGTCATTGTTAATATTTCATGTCCAAGTAACTCCACAGGATTGAAAAGATTAACCATTTTTATCTATGGTCATTTGAGTCTTTCTGTTTTGAGATTAAGCTTATTGGATCCATATTTTTAAAGGGGCTTAATCCGTTCTGAAAATCAACAACAACAAAAAATCTGTCATTTTATCACATTGATTCAAAAGGCATAGTGTGCTGAGCAGAGTTAAAAAAAAGATAAAATAATATGCAAAGGGAGCATGCAGTATGGAGAAACTATTGAGAAATGAAGAGTAAGTACATTTTAATGCTTGACTTCCTCCACAGATGAAGGGATGAGCTCATCGATCCACTATTACCTTTTATGAATACTTAGATAAAAGAAGGGAATGGACAATCTCCCATGAATACTCTCGGGAAGTACCTGCAATGTCCAAGAATTGACCTTTCTGCAGCTGACACATTGCTGTGTTTCGGATTACGTTTCATGTTAATTTCTTCTCTTGCAATTATGGAGCTAGGTAAGAGATGTTATTCTTTAAAAGAATACAAAACCAAGAAATGAAGGTGGAAATGATGTCTTAACCAGAATACAATTTTACGGTTAATATCAAAGGTAGAAAATAGAAAAAAGCATTCCTTACAGAGGACTACATAAAGTCTTGGGCTTTCCACACAAGGTCCTTTGATCAGAGGTAGCACTTACTTTACATGTCACCATGCTGAATTTAACAATTGATTTTTTTTGATGAGGTCATAAATATTTGCTTGAAAACAAAATATTACACACAGAAGGGCCATCTTCTATGATGACCCCGATTCACATACCACAGTGTGTTTTGGTCCCATTGGGCATCTTTCTCATGATTATGTACACCAGCTGGACTCGTTAGTGTGGTATAGACCTTTCCTTCCCAGCACTTGACTTAGTGGAGATATCCTTCACATGTGCAGAGAGGATTGGCCACAGAGGATCGAGTTTTGATGACTCAGAAGCAGGTACTTTCCTAGGAAACTAGAGCCTCCCACAGGTTCTTGCAGCAAACTGCTTCCACATAGATGGTGGCTTCTAAGCTCAGTGAGGGTCTGAATGGCATGAGACCCACTTAGGGCAATGGAGCAGTTTCTGCTTCCAGATTTTCTAGCTGAAAAAAGAAAGAGCAAAGACAGTGAGCATTTCAAATTGGGTTGCAGTGCACATTTATCGGGCATCTTCTGTGTGTCAGAACTGTCCTGAGGGCCCTCAGTATACTTTCACATGCAACCCTCAGAGTTTCTCCTAAATGTCAAGACATTAATTAATCTCTTGGGTCATTATGAATATGCTATTGCATTTGTACACACTAATATCTAAGAATTATACACTGGTCATCAAAGAGATATAATTGATACTGCCTTCCTTGAAAAAATACATTTTTAATCCAAAACCCATATCTCCCTCTGTTCTTGACCCTCTTTCTCCTTCTTTATCCTCAAATTACTCATGACTTGACAAAAATTTTAAAAGAAAAAGCAGTGTCTCTCTTTGCAATAGCTTTCATGTTCTTCATTTCTAGATAAAGGCATTTTTATTTTTCACTCAGTTCTCAAAATTAATGGATTTTTTTCTGAAACAACTGATTCGAAGTACAGGGATTTCGTCACCCCCACTTCCATTGTAAAGCTGGCATATACATTGAGCAATAACACGATGTTTGTTCACACACATAAAAATGTGGCTTGATATTTTCAAATGTGGGAGGAGAATTGTGGGAAAGAAATATGTTTTGTAATTAACAAGTAATCACTGCTGTCATTGTTACTATAGTTTTTGGTGAGACGGAAAGGAAGTGTTTATAGAGTCAGTGTAAAGGGATGAGAGGGTTTTTCCTTTAACTTTATTTTGGTAAATTTCACACTTCAGTAAAAGTACAAGAATGAGAATAGCATAAAGAACACTTGTGTACACTTTACCCAGACTCACCTGCTGTTAACATTTTATCCCATTTGTTTTATTGTTTGCTTTCTATTCCTTTTTTCTGTCTTCTTCTACACACACACACACACACACACACACACACACACACACAATCTCTCTGAATTTTTTGATACTCAGTTGAATTTTTGTCACTACATATTTCAATATATATTTCCTAAGAATAAGAAATAGAAAGATTAGAATTGCCATTTGGAAAGGTGGTCTACCATGGGCCCTGGGTTTCCCTCACATTCTTGCTAACTGTGCCAAACTACAAGGCTTAACTGTCCTCTGTCCTGGATCAGTTTCTGCCCGTGGTCACATAGGCAATTAGGTAGGCCAAGGTGACCACAGCATTGATCACCGTGTGAAGTGTCTGTTTGTTTATTGCTTGCCCCAAAAGGGGCTGAGACTTTAGCTCTAGGTTCCTTAACCGTGACACAACCCATTAAGTGTGCAGCTGCCATCTGGTCCCATCACGCTGCCCTGTGGGATCTGGGGGCAGAAGACGCACTGCTATGCTAAAGTTTCTGCTGATGCTGTGCTGTGAGTACTAAACTGTCTGACTTTCCTCTACTTTTGGCACCTAAAGAGTTGTGGCAAGACAACCTGCTTGCTTGCTCCAAAGTCAAGAATCTGGTTACTTCTCGCCATCTTCTAAGAGCTCCTTCCCAAACAGGTACCACAAGCAGGATGTCAAGATAGACAATGACTTTTTGGAAGAGAAAAGGCAAGGGCTCATGGACTGGGTGTAAGAATATGAAGAAACTCTTTGGGACCTGGTAGCAAATGTTCTGACCAAAGTGGTACAGAAAGGTGGAGTAAGTTGTCCACTCCTGTCCTCCCTGTTGATGAACGTGACTGACTCAAATCAATGGATGGGGGCTGAGTGGTGAGGGATAAAGTCTAACCAATTGCCCAAATGGTGCCATGGTTGTTGTTTGCTCTCCTGTGGACTAGGAGGCTAAGAGAGCACTCTGAGCCCCACCAGGCAGAAGAGCACAACTTCACCAGTTTTAAGTCAAGACTAGAAACAACTAGAGGGCAAATGCCTCTATAATGAATACTAAGATATAGACCCATAGTGAGAGGGAAAAGAGGGATATCCAGGAGTGCTTTAATCAACTGGCTGAGGAATTGTTAGACATGTGGCTGATGAAGGAGTTAGGGAGGTTATGCTCTTAGTGAACAAAGCACTTATGCCATCTTACAGGAGACCCCATGCTTTAAGCCAGTGTGCAGATCATTTAACTGGGACAGAATCGTGCCCCACAATGAGGTTTGCTATTGTGTATTTCTGTTACAATTATCACATTATGACCAAACCAAGGAGACTTTCTTGAGGCCAATAAAATCCTATGAAACCTTAGGAGAAAGCTACTCAAAGGCTGAGGCAGCTCCAGACTTGTTCCTTCCTGAACAGAATGACAGCCTGATTATGATCCCACATCCAGAGAATGACTGGTTCCCTTTTAAGATTACCCCCCTCCCTGCAAGGTGTAGCATTCTACTATATTTTTTTTTGGTGAGAGACCCCGTGCTGGAAGTTGTGCTTGGGGCCATTAGACTCCCAGGATAAAGATACCACTCTCTAGACTAGGCAGTCTCTGCAATCTAAGACAAAGGCCAGGATGGGAACATCCAATGTCCTCCAAACTGTAAGGCAATGGGATAAGCCTCTTAACATGGGGGATCCCAAAGTAGGGACTGATGGGATAATCACCAAAGAAATGCAGTCCACATATAAGGCTATGATGGGTCCCAAGGGGGTGGTTACTAATTCATATAAATAAAACTCTGTGTGCCTCTATAGAACCAAATTCCTTTGCAGAGACCAATTTCCCTCTAATGAGGAACTAGGAAGCCATGTGGCTGCTTTAGAGCAGATTTCTCCCTCAGAACCTCTACTGCCTGACCCGCATTTCTGTACCATGCCTTGAAAACCTTTAAGGATAAGGGATGAGGTAAAGTATTTTCATTTTCAGCAGAAATCAGAGGCTTCATACCCTTAGAAGGGCAGAATGGGGTAGGGAGAAAGGCAAGAGGGGGTGAATATAAAGATATAT